CTTACAAGATGAACCCCCCCCCCCGAGAGGAAGACTTACAAGATGAACCCCCCGGAGAAGACTTACAAGATGAACCCCCCTGAGGAAGACTTACAAGATGAATCCCCCCCCGAGGAAGACTTACAAGATGAATCCCCCCCCGTGGAAGACTTACAAGATGAACCCCCCCCCGAGGGAAGACTTACAAGATGACCCCCCCCCCCCTCGAGGAAGACTTACAAGATGAACCCCCCCGGAGGAAGACTTACAAGATGAACCCCCCCCCGAGGAAGACTTACAAGATGACCCCCCCCCCCCGAGGGAAGACTTACAAGATGAACCCCCCGGAGAAGACTTACAAGATGAACCCCCCCCCCAGGAAGACTTACAAGATGAACCCCCCCCCCGAGGAAGACTTACAAGATGAACCCCCCCCAGGAAGACTTACAAGATGAACCCCCCTGAGGAAGACTTACAAGATGAATCCCCCCCGAGGAAGACTTACAAGATGAATCCCCCCGTGGAAGACTTACAAGATGAACCCCCTCCGAGGAAGACTTACAAGATGAACCCCCCCCGAGGAAGACTTACAAGATGAACCCCCCCCCCCGAGGAAGACTTACAAGATGAATCCCCCCCGAGGAAGACTTACAAGATGAATCCCCCCGAGGAAGACTTACAAGATGAATCCCCCCCGAGGAAGACTTACAAGATGAACCCCCCCCCCGAGGAAGACTTACAAGATGAACCCCCCCCCGAGGAAGACTTACAAGATGAACCCCCCCCCCCCCGAGGAAGACTTACAAGATGAATCCCCCCCGAGGAAGACTTACAAGATGAATCCCCCCCGAGGAAGATTTACAAGATGAACCCCCCCCGAGGAAGACTTACAAGATGAAACCCCCCCCCGAGAAGACTTACAAGATGAACGCCCCTAGGAAGACTTACAAGATGAATCCCCCCCGAGGAAGACTTACAAGATGAATCCCCCCCCGTGGAAGACTTACAAGATGAATCCCCCCCGAGGAAGACTTACAAGATGAATCCCCCCGTGGAAGACTTACAAGAGATGAATCCCCCCCGAGGAAGACTTACAAGATGAACCCCCCCCCGAGGAAGACTTACAAGATGAATCCCCCCCGAGGAAGACTTACAAGATGAATTTCCCCGAGGAAGACTTACAAGATGAACCCCCCCGAGGAAGACTTACAAGATGAATCCCCCCGAGGAAGACTTACAAGATGAACCCCCCTGAGGAAGACTTACAAGATGAATCCCCCCGAGAAGACTTACAAGATGAACCCCCCCCCGAGGAAGACTTACAAGATGAATCCCCCCCGAGAAGACTTACAAGATGAATTTCCCCGAGGAAGACTTACAAGATGAACCCCCCCCCGAGGAAGACTTACAAGATGAATCCCCCCCCGAGGAAGACTTACAAGATGAATCCCCCCCGAGGAAGACTTACAAGATGAACCCCCCCGAGGAAGACTTACAAGATGAACCCCCCTGAGGAAGACTTACAAGATGAACCCCCCCCGAGGAAGACTTAATCCCCCCGATGACAAGATGAAACGCGTTGGCATTTTTTCTCTCTGCAAACATTGAAGCAATTCATGCTCATGATTCCGCTATTGTGTATACAGCACGGAACATTTTTCTTTTGATGCTTTTTATATATTAATGTACATGTTAGGGTGTGTTCAGCATTTATGAGGCTTTTTTATACTTTGTATGAATACAATTTTGATATTTTATTTCTTTGTTATACATTTTGGTCCCTTTTACGGTCCCCATTGTTTCATGTTGGTGTTTTTTTTCCTACATAGCAATTCTGGGATGCGGTACCGTGACCTATTGATGGGAGGTCAGGAACGATTCCGGTATATTCGAATGAAAGCTGTCAGGGAATGTTGAATGGTTAAATTAGTCAGCTATATCGATCGTTTCATCACAGCGGCCTTTTACCACATGATCAGCTGCAGCCAATGACACAGCGATCCCCGGGTAAATACAGTTGCCGGTGATCGGCCGAACTTTCCTCACACTGTCACAGAGTCAGAAAGTACTGCCGAGAACCAGCAATTGTCAGAGGACGGATCGTTACTGATGATCAGTGCCCATCAGTGCCACCCACCTGTGCCTAGCAGTGCCACCCACCCCTACAGTGCTGTGCCCATCAGTGCCACCCATCAATGCCCAGCAGTGCCACCAGTCAGTGCCGTCAGTCAGTGCCACCCATCAGTGCCCATCATTTCTACATATCAGTGCAGCAGCATCAGTGCCGCCATATCAGTGCCAGCTCATCAGTGCCGCCATATCAGTGCCAGCTCATCAGTGCCGCCTATCAGTGCCAGCTCATCAGTGCGCCTATCAGCCAAGCTCATCAGTGCCCATCAGTGCCCATCAGTGCTCCCTATCCGTTGCCACCTCATCAGTGCCGCCTATCAGTGCCCATCAGTGCTGCCTATCCGTGCCACCTCATTAGTGCCGCCTATCAGTGCCCATCACGCTGCCTATCAGTGCCCATCATTGCTGCATATCAGTGCAGCATCATCAGTGTTGCCTCATCAGTGCCACCTCTCTCAGTGCCCATCAGTGCTGCCGATCCGTGCCACCTCATCATGCTGCCTATCAGTGCCCATCAGTGACACCTATTGGTGCCCATCAGTACTGCCTATCAGTGCCCATCAGTACTGCCTATCAGTGCCCATTAGTGCTGCCTATCAGTGCTGCCTATCAGTGCCCATCAGTGCTGCCTATCAGTGCCCATCAGTACTGCCTATCAATGCCCATCAGTGCTGCCTAGCCATGCCACTTCATCAGTGCCCATCAAAACTGCCTATCAGTGCCATCAGTACTGCCTATCAGTGCAGCCTCATCAACGCACATCAGTGAAGGAGAAAAAATTACCCGTGTGCAAAATTTTATCAAAGAAATACTTTTTTGTTTATAGGGCAAAAAATAAACCCCCAGCGGGGAGTAAATACCACCAAAAGAAAGCTCTATTTGTGTGAAAAAAAAATTATACAAATTTCATCTGGGTGCAGTGTGCATGACCACACAATTGTCATTCAAAGTGCAACAGTGCTGAAAGCTGAAAATTGGCCTGGGCAGGGGGGGGGGGGAAGTGCCCGGTAGGTGAATTCAGAGGCGGACTGACCAATCGAGCACTCGGACACTGCCCGAGGGCCCGGGGTCAGTAGAGGGCCCCATGAAATGCCCCTGGTACCTTTTTATAGGCTTTTTTTTGAGTGTGGGCAAGGACATAGGGGCCCCATGACCCCTAATTGCCCGGGGGGCCCCAGGAGTTGTCAGTCCGCCCCTGGGTGAGGGGTTAAGGTATCCCACTAATGCATGAATATATATGCAAGGCTCAAAAAAATGAAAGGAAGACTTTGTAATCCGAGTCGCATCAAGTCCATGAACCTCCCCGGGATATGATCTGCTCAGGTAAGTCGCAGAGGGGGTGGTAATCAGTTTCAGCTGCTTTGGTGTTCATGAAATTAACACTAGGTGCACTAGATGGGCCACAATGAGACGACCCCCAACACAGGAATGGTTTTTACAGGTGGAGAGCCACGGACATTTTTTCCCCTACTCATCTTTTCTGACTGTTTTTCACTAGTTTTTGCATTTGGCTCGGGTCAGTGTCACTACTGGTACCATGAGGCCATACCTGGACCCTACAGAGGTTGTACAGGCAGTCCAACTCCTCCAGGATGGCACATCAATACCTGCCATTGCCAGAAGGTTTGCTGTGTCTCCCCAGCACAGTCTCTCAAGAGCATGGAGGAGATTCCAGGAGACGAGCACAGAGGAGATTCCAGGAGAAAAGAGCACGGAGGAGATTCCAGGAGACAAGAGCACGGAAGAGATTCCAGGAAACACGGAGGAGATTCCAGGAGACAAGAGCACGGAGGAGATTCAGGAGACAAGAGCACGGAGGAGATTTCAGGAGACAAGAGCACGGAGGAGATTCCAGGAGACAAGAGCACGGAGGAGATTCCAGGAGAAAAGAGCACGGAGGAGATTCCAGACGAGAGCAGGAGGAGATTCCAGGAGACGAGAGCACGGAGGAGATTCCAGGAGACGAGAGCACGGAGGAGATTCCAGGAGACGAGAGCACGGAGGAGATTCCAGGAGACGAGGAGCAGGAGGAGATTCCAGGAGACGAGAGCACGGAGGAGATTCCAGGAGACGAAAGCACGGAGGAGATTCCAGGAGAAAAGAGCACGGAGGAGATTCCAGGAGACGAAAGCACGGAGGAGATTCCAGGAGACGAAAGCACGGAGGAGATTCCAGGAGACAAGAGCATGGAGGAGATTCCAGGAGACAAGAGCATGGAGGAGATTCCAGGAGACAAGAGCATGGAGGAGATTCCAGGAGACGAGAGCACGGAGGAGATTCCAGGAGACGAGAGCACGGAGGAGATTCCAGGAGACAGGCAGTTCCTCTAGGAGAGCTGGACAGGGCTGTAGAAGGTCTTTAACCCATCAGCAGGACCGGTATCTGCTCCTTTGTACAAGGAGGAACAGGATGAGCCCTGCCAGAGCCCTAGGAAATGACCTCCAGCAGGCCACTGGTGGGAATGTCTCTGACCAAACAATCAGAAACAGACTTCATGAGGGAGGCCTGAGGGCCCGACCTCCTCTAGTGGGCCCTGTGCTCACTGCTGGGCACCATAAAGCTGGATTGGCATTGGCCATTGAACCCCAGAATTGGCAGGTCCACCACTGGCACCCTGTGCTTTTCGCAGATGAGAGCAGGTTCCCCCTGAGCACATGTGACAGACGTGAAAGGGTCTGGAGAAGCCGTGAAGAACGTTCTGCTGCCTGTAACATGGTTCAGTATGACCGTTGTGGTGGTGGGTCAGTGATGGTCTGGGGTGGCATCTCCATGGAGGGACACGCAGACCTCTACAGGCTAGACAATGGACCCTGACTGCCATTAGGTATCGGGATGAAATCCTTGGACCCATTGTCAGACCCTACACTGGTGCAGGGGGTCCTGGGTTCCTCCTGGTGCAGGGGGTCCTGGGTCCCACCTGGTGCAGGGGGGTCCTGGGTTCCTCCTGGTGCAGTGGGTCCTGGGTTCCTCCTGGTGCAGTGGGTCCTGGGTTCCTCCTGGTGCAGTGGGTCCTTGGTTTCTTTTGGTGCAGTGGGTCCTGGATTCCTCCTCATGCGCTGGGTCCTGAGTTCCACCTGGTGCGGTGGGTCCTGGGTTCCTCCTGGTGCGGTGGGTCCTGGGTTCCTCCTGGTGCGGTGGGTCCTGGGTTCCTCCTGGTGCAGTGGGTCCTGGGTTCCTCCTGGTGCAGTGGGTCCTGGGTTCCTCCTGGTGCAGTGGGTCCTGGGTTCCTCTTGGTGCAGTGGGTCCTGGGTTCCTCCTAGTGCAGTGGGTCCTGGGTTCCTCCTAGTGCAGTGGGTCGTGGGTTCCTCCTGGTGCAGTGGGTCCTGGGTTCCTCTTGGTGCAGTGGGTCCTGGGTTCCTCCTGGTGCAGAGGGTCCTGGGTTCCTCCTGGTGCGGTGGGTCCTGGGTTCCTCCTTGTGCGGTGGGTCCTGGGTTCCTCCTGGTGCAGAGGGTCCTGGGTTCCTCCTGGTGCAGTGGGTCCTGGGTTCCTCCTGGTGCACGACAATGCCCGGTCTCATGTGGGAATTGATACCATTGAATGGCCCCCACGCTCCCCTGACCTAAACCCAATAGAACCCCTCTGGGATGTCATGTTTGGGTCCATCCGCCACCGCCAGGTTGCACTTCAGACTGTCCAGGAGCTCAGTGATGCCCTGGTCCAGATCTGGGAGGAAATCCCCCAGGACACCATCCGTGGTCTCATTAGGACCCTCCCCCGATGTTGTCAGGCATGCATACAAGCACGTGGGGGCCACACAGACTACTGAGGACCATTCTGAGTTGTTGCAATGACATTTCAGCAATGGACTCGCCTGCTGCATCATTTCTTCACTTTGATTTTCGGGGTGTCTGTGAATTCAGTCCTTTGTAGGTCGATCATTTCCATCCAACAATGGGGCGTCCTTACATTCCTCACCCATGTATGCTTCCTGATATAATTTACTGTGATCCTCATCTCCATCTAGTGGCCATAATGTGCATGTGTGTTCTTTTTCCAGGTATTTCTGAATGACGGCCATTAGATGGCGCTGACAAGCAGATAACAATACAGGATTACATAGGAATATAAAGAATATACGGATATTGGATAATTCTTTGTGTTCGGCGCAGATGGTGAAGTCATCCGCGGGTCAGATATTTTTTGTACATAGACCCCCTTAACACGTATATATGCAAACAGGGCAGCAAACAGTGATGGCACCCCCCCCCCCCCTTCTGGTGAAGGTTTCACACCTTGTATCCCACGTGGAAGAAAAATATATTTTAAAAATATTCTTCCCAAATATATTGACATACAATGTTGGCAGTATTCAATAAAGAGAGAAGGAGAAAAGAGAAAGAAGAAAGAAAGAAAGAAAGAAAGAAAGGGGGAGGGAAGAGAGAGAAAAAGAGAGAGGGACAAGAGAGAGAGAGAGGGGGGGGGGGTGAGAGAGAGAAGAAAGAAAGAAAAGAAAGAAAGAAAGAAAGAAAGAAAAGAAAGAAAAGAAAGAAAGAAAGAAAGAAAGGGGGGGGGGAAGAGAGAGAAAAAGAGAGAGGGACAAGAAAGAGAGAGAGAGAGGGGGGGAGAAAAGAAAGAAAGAAAAGAAAGAAGGAAAAGAAAGAAGGAAAAGAAAGAAAAGAAAAGAAAGAGGGGGAAAGAAGGGAAAGAAAGAGGGGAAAGAAAGAAAGAAAGAAAGAAAGAAAAAGAAAGAAAGAAAGAAAGAAAGGGGGAGGGAAGAGAGAGGGACAAGAGAGAGAGAGAGAGAGGGGGGGGCGAGATAGAGAGAGAGGGGGGGAGAAAGAAAGAAAGAAAGAGAAAGGAAAGAAAGAAAGGGGGGAGGGAAGAGAGAGAAAAAAGAGAGAGGGACGAGAGAGAGAGAGAGAGAGAGAGAGAGAGAGGGGGGGGAAGAAAGAAAGAGGGACAAGAAAGAAAGAAAGGGGGGGGGAAGAGAGAGAAAAGGAGAGAGGGAGAGAAGAGAGAGAGAGAGAGAGAGAGAGAGAGAGAGAGCGAGAAAGAGAAGAGAGAGAGAGAGGAGAGAGAGAGAGAGGGGGGGAAGAAAGAAAGAAAGAGGGACAAGAAAGAAAGAAAGGGGGGGGGGGAAGAGAGAGAAAAGGAGAGAGGGACGAGAAAGAGAGAGAGAGAGAGGGGGGGGGGAGAAAGAAAGAAAGAGGGGACAAGAAAGAAAGAAAGAAAGAAAGGGGGAGGGAAGAGAGAGAAAAAGAGAGAGAGGGACAAGAAAGAGAGCGAGAGAGAGAGAGTGAGAGAGAGAGAGAGAGAGAGAGGTGGGGGGGAGGAAGAAAGAAAGAAAGAAAGAGGGACAAGAAAGAAAAGAAAGAGAGGGGGAGGGAAGAGAGAGAAAAGGAGAGAGGGACAAGAAAGAGAGAGAGAGAGAGAGAGTGGGGGAAGAGAGAGAGAGGGGGGGGAGAGAGAGAGAGAGGGGGGGGGAGAGAGAGAGAGGGGGGGGGAAGAAAGAAAGAAGGGAAAAGAGAGAGTCTGTCGTATGTTGCTTGAACTGCAGAGAGACTTGTGATCCCTCTCAGCAATCTCGGCACCCAATCTCTTTTGCCAAGTGGTCAGATAAATGGAAAGTATTCCCACTGATGGCTCGGCAGCCGCCATCTCCCCCCTCCCCCCTCCCCCGCTGCCCTCGGCGTCGAATATAAATGCCTTATATTATGTATACTGACCGAGGACTGAGGACTACACTCGGGGTGTACTAACCGGGGAAATCAGAGGTCAAAGAGCAGCTGGATGGAGGAGGACAGCGAGAAGAAACACAACAGCAAAACAGACGGAGACAAAATGGCGGCTGAGCCAGTCACGTCCAGGCGACTCTCGCTCTTCAGACCTGTAACTGGAGGAAGAAAACATAAAATGTTAAAAACGTAACATTGCTCAGATTTTGTCCTCCCTGATTCCCACCCCCCCCCCTTCCTTTTTAAATAAAATCTTTCCATTTCCATGACATCCCTTGTTATAGGAGAAGTGATGTCATCACTGGGTCTCTGTGCTTCTCTATGCAATGCAAGCAGATCATGGCTGGTGGGAGGAGCCGGGAGGGTCCTGTACATAACTTCCTCGGTACTCCTCTCAGGAGCTCTCAGCCCTGACACAAGCAGTGGGAGGAGTTATGCAAATATCACAATGCCTTCATAGACAGTCTGGAGGAGTGGGTGTTCCTAGGTAGGCTGTATTTGCATGCAGACCGCTCTAGGTAACGCCCACAGAGGATGCTGAGCCCCCCATGACTGAAGGAACTGAAATCCAGTGAATGAAAGGGGCGGGGCCAGGTAAAGTTAGGCTGCGCAGAGGTGGGCAATGTGCAGCTCTCCAGCTGTTGTGGAACTACATTTCCCATGAGGCATTGCAAAGAATGGACATTGCAAACCTGACAGAGGCATGATGGAACTTGTAGTTCTGCAACAGCTGGGGAACCGCACATTGCCCACCCCTGGGCTGGGGGATGGGAAAAAGGGGGTGTCAAACTGGCAGCCCCTCCAGCTGTTGGCAAACTACAAGTCCCATCATGCCTCTGCCTTCGGGAGTCATGCTTGTAACTCTTGCAATGCCTCATGGGACTTGTAGTTTGGCGACAGCTGGAGGGGCCCTTTGTGTTAAAGTTTTTCCTGGAGGAAGGGAGTGCAGACCCCGAAACGCGTTGGCTTAGTCCATCCCTCCGGGGCGGAGCCTCCGTTTCAGTCTCACACACCCCCATCAGGATCTAAGGAGGTCATGGGAGCTGCCGGCCCGTTGGTCAGATTCCTCCATGGCTACACCGCCGCCATACTATTGGACGATAAAAAAGAATACATAATATTTAATTACCAAAACCACGCCCCCTCCCCTCCCCCTTCCCACAAAGCTAATGGCAACGGGAACATTTTTGTTTTTTTTGTTTTTAACTGCTGTAGGCTTGTGGAGAATTACGGAGCACTTTCTGCGTCTGCCCCTCCCCCCCCCTCCCCTCCCCCAATTCATGAGACACGGGAAGGACATACTGGACCAGGGGATCGATCACTCCGGACTCTTCAGCAGGGAATGGATTGGATTGGTGAAGTGCATTGCGCGGTGGAAGTGCCGGTCACCATACACAGACTGACACGTTTCCGCATGCTGCACGCATTCACTGCAATGGGCTGTCCTATGAGTGCCTGTCCCCAAATAGAGGCTCTCTGACCCTCTTCTGTGGTACCCCTCCAGTCTCTGTCCCTCTCCTGTGGTGCACCCTCTCTCTACCCCTCTCCTGTACTACGTGCACCTCCAGTCTCTACCCCTCTCCTGTACTACGCCTCCAGTCTCTGACCCTCTCCTGTGGTGCACCTCCAGTCTCTGCCCCTCTCCTGTGGTACTCCTCCAGTCTCTGACCCTCTCCTGTGGTACTCCTCCAGTCTCTGACCCTCTCCTGTGGTACACCTCCAGTCTCTGACCCTCTCCTGTGGTACTCCTCCAGTCTCTGACCCTCTCCTGTGGTACACCTCCAGTCTCTGACCCTCTCCTGTGGTACGCCTCCAGTCTCTGACCCTCTCCTGTGGTACACCTCCAGTCTCTGACTCTCTCCTGTGGTACTACGTCTGCAGCCTCTCTGTGGTACACCTAGTCTCTGACCTCTCCTGTGGTACTAGTCTGCAGTCTCTGACCCTCTCCTGTACTACACCTGCCTCTGACCCTCTCCTGTCTCTGACCACCTATTTCTGTACTGCTCCTGCACTCTCTGACCAACTCCTGCACTTACTGACCAACGTCTGTACTGCTCCTGCACTCTCTGACCCTCTCCTGTACTATGCCTGCAGTCTCTGACCTTCTCCTGTACTATGTCTGCAGTCTCTGACCCTCTCCTGTACTATGCTTGCAGTCTCTGACCTTCTCCTGTACTATGCCTGCAGTCTCTGACACAGTCTTGTAGTACGCCTGCAGTCTCTGACCCTCTCCTGTACTACGCCTGCAGTCTCTGACCTTCTCCTGTACTGCTCCTGCAGTCTCTGACCCTCTCCTGTACTGCTCTGCACTCTCAAAACAACTCCTGTACTATGCCTGCAGTCTCTGACCCTCTCCTCTACTATGCCTGTAGTCTCTGACGTTCTCCTGTACTACGTCTACAGTCTCTGACCCTTTCCTTTACTATGTCTGCAGTCTCTGACACAGTCTTGTAGTATGCCTGCATTCTCTGACCCTCTCCTGTACCATTCCTGCAGTCTCTGACCCTCTCCTGTACCATTCCTGCAGTCTCTGACCCTCCCCTGTACTATTCCTGCAGTCTCTGACCCTCTCCTCTACTATGCCTGTAGTCTCTGACGTTCTCCTGTACTACGTCTACAGTCTCTGACCCTCTCCTTTACTATGTCTACAGTCTCTGACCCTCTCCTGTACTATGCCTGCAGTCTCTGACACAGTC